TTAACCAATCAGCAATACTGGTGAGACCATATAGCCATGTTGTTAGAGGGACATGGGTGTGGTCATGCAGTAAGACATTCTCAAAGGTAAAATGCAGCAGAGCAGCTTTTACACAAAGACAGAAAGAGCAGCTTTTTGGAATTTCTTCAGTTGTGGTCATTTGTGATGAAAGGATTTTGTTGTTGGAATGCAACAAATATGCAAATAAGCCTGAGTGCATTTCCAACAAAAACAGAGTAGATCAGATGTAGTTTAAGATGGAATCTGAATAATTGTTTTCATGAAATTATAAAAAACAAACATAATTTCATGACAAGCTCAATGCATGGATATGCATTTGCATGTCCCTGAATGCAGCACTTCTAAACATATGTGTCTAAATGCCTGCACTGGACTGAGCAGGCTCAGCATGCCTACTTTACAGTGATGGGGGCATCTCCACTGCGGTTGGTGTAATTGACAATGGCGTTGAAGGACTGGTTAACCCACTGCCAGAAGACCACGGCCGGAGTCGTCCTGAAAACAAGAAGGAACAGAAATCAGAGAAAAACATGTCACCTTCTCCAGTCATGGATTAAAGGTCAACACAGCAGGGTAGAAATGTTAAGCTTTTCCTGAAGACAATTTCAGTTTTGCCAAAATGCCTTCATACAATGAAAGATAAATTAAACACTGCATCTTCAGTCATTCCATGGTAATACTTATAACATGTTTAGATCAAAATAAAAAACTTAAATAGCAATAAATAAAATGAAAATGTATTCGAATATATATCAATTTACTTAGTGCAACATCTAATGACAGCAGCAGAGTGACTTTTCAGTATGAAAACACCAGAGGTAAATTTTTCTATTTTTAAGAGGATTTTTATAATCTGTCCAGGGATTAAAATCTTCAATGTTAAGCTTTTCTGTATCCAGTCATATGTGGAAGAAACATCACATTTATTCAAAGCCTGGCTCACTTTTGTGCTGTGCTGTGTTGAGCAGTACCTGTAGAAGGTAAGCATGCTGCCCGTTATGAACATGTTCATTGGCACCTGAGCAGACATCCGTCCAATCACCAACATCTTCTCGCCAGTGTCTGGGTGGAAGGCGGAGTCGTAGATGTACTTGGCTCTCCACAGCTCATCTTCAGTCAGACCAGGCTTCACCACACCGGCTCTGCAAAGGTTGAACCAGTAAAGTCAGACCCATATTAAATCGCTCCACTTAAAAATTAAAATCTTAATTCTTATCCGGACATCCAGTCGCCAGCCACATCCTAACATTATATCCTCCTCCTACTTATAGTTCATCTTCTAGAGAAAAAATAGGAATTCCCATGCATGGTCTAACTGGTATAAAAAAGAGTTAAGTATAAAAGTATGAAAAGTATGTAACAGGTCGTGGACTATAGCTCAAAATTTGAACAGAAGTGCAACAATCAAGATCACATTATGTCAACAAACTACGTATGATGACGCCTTTAATATGCATTTTTGATGGCTTCACCTTGGTCAGAAATCCTTGTTAAAACTGATCACATCAATTTACACAAGTAACATTTAGTTACACGAAAACCTGCTAACTATTAACAGACTTCAGTAAATTTTTTTACCTATAGTTATGCACAATCACTCTGGCCTCCTCCAGGGTCTCAGAGGACAACAGGACGTTCCTCGGATCTGTGACCATGAAGAAGTGCTTGGCACGTCCCATGAATGTGCCCTGATCCCATCGAGGCTCCTTGATGTTAATATTTGTTGACAGCTCTCCTGACATCTTGACTCTAAATAAACAATGTCAGAAACGTTATTAGTATTTAAAATATGTTAAAAAAATGAATCATATCATCAAAATGAAAACATACTTTTACACTACTAGTAATAGTTATTTAGTTATTACATACTCAAATGTGGTGTTACGAAAAGCCCGAGTCACCTAACCAAGTCTCCGTCCCCATATAATGAACAGTAGCCAGTGTTGATCAATACTTCACACATAAATGTCAGAAAGACCTGTTGTACAGGTTCACTTCCCTGTAGCATTTTCCACCACAGCAGGGGAATCAAACATCTTTAAAATCCTGTCTATCTAGGTTTAGGTCTTTACTCTGCTGTTGTAGTAGCATAGTGTTATATCTAAATACGATCCCTAGATGTTTGTTTACTTAGCAACACCCTTGGGAATGACATCGGTAATACGTTCTTTGGATTCAATGGGAAAGCCCTAAAAGGCCAGTTTGTTAGCATGTTTTTCTGCGGATTGTGGATTCTTCACTATTCCTTCCGCTGTCTGACTTTACCATATAAAAATAACTTTAATAACTGACTGTCAGGGTTAGGGTTATAAACAGGGTTAGGTTTAGGATTACAAACACAAACCTTTTGGCTCGCATGCAAGAATTAATTAAGTTAATCGTGGTCACAGATCTTGAACGGTCGAAAAAATGTCGTGACGAGCGATCTACATAGTCACGCCGCCGGTGTCTATGCACCGGGCGGCTAAACGTTGAAGCTATTAAATAATTATATTCCGTCTTACAAACACACTAAAATGCAAAACGTGTGCCAAATTATTTCCATCCCTCGATCAAGCTGTTTTACATTTAAAAAACCCACAAAACCAAATCAACCTGTCGAACAACAAACATTTTTTTAGTAAATGAGTTGTATACACAACCAGGTATGCTAGCTTAAATGCTACAGGAATAGTAAATATTCACTGGCTGTGGTTTTACGCGAATGCTGACATCAATTATTGCAACATTCACTTAATAATGTTAGCATATATATATATTTTAAATACAGTCCATACTTACCGTGCTTATTCTTTGCGGTTTGTGGGAAATGTATGACCTCTCAATAACACAGCGGCACCGGGTGGATGTATGACGCGTTCACGTACTCAAAAAGCATAGTAAAGTACAACACAGTGACTACATCACAATCCGATACTTGTTTAGCACTGTGTCTTATTTGCATAAATGTGAACATGGGTACATTTCAAACGGGTAGTTAAGTTTCATAAACGATATATGGCACATTAAAGGCTTTTATCTCCTAATCATAAAATAATATGTAACGAAAGAATTAAAAACACGTGGATGCAGAAACAGACCGATTCTTGGAGATACATTTGAACATAGCAGTGTGATGCGTAACGCGAGGGGTGGTGGCGGTTATAGCGTATTACAACGGCTGGGCGTGGTGGGAAAAACAAAATATGATTGGTTCAATCAAAAGGAATCCACAATACACCAAGGGTACAGTTACATAAATGTTTTACTTATTACGTGTGTATGCAAAATGTCGTTAGACTAATATTAAAAGCATTTCGTTTGACTCATTATATGATATATTAACACGGTCTTAAAAGTGCAATGTGTAGGGTTAAGCTAAATTAAGTGATAATAATTCACAGTAACTCAACCACAGCACCAACAACAATCACAACAATTCCCCTAATCTAAAAAGAATTTTCAAGAAAATGTGAACTCTGACCCAAGGACCCTCAGTCAGGCTCAGAGGGTCCTTGTCACTTCTGACCCAGTCTTTTTTTTTCAATTTTTTTTTTTTTGTGAAATTAAAAAAAAGACTCCAAGTCCAGTTCATCAGGGCTCACATCTGTGGTCACCCCAGTCAGAAGTCACCGGATAGCTGACCCAGTCAGAAGTCACTCCAAGTCCAGTGAACTTGATTGAACAATCACATAACATTGGGACGCAAAGCTACAGACGTTTAAATATATAATGCAGGTGACCACTAGAGGGAGGTGTTTCATCGCTGCACACTACCCGTTGTCAGTGGATTAAATTGTTTCCACAGCAGCAGCTGCAAGAAAACACGCTAACTATATCAACACACGCATCAGAGGTAGAGTTGACCCGAGGACAATACTAATGCACGTGTTCCCTTAATATTGTGCCATTAGTGCAGTCATTCATCGGTGGTGGAGCACTGATGGGCCGCTCAGCTGTGGGTACTTTGTGGTAAAGGCTTACACTTCTTAAGACAATGTTGGTCAGCAGTGGGACTAATGAGGTGACACTAATACTCTGCTAGTGTCTACTAATGCACAAGTAACGCTGAGGAGCCATCGTCCCGCAAAACATGGACAGAACAGGTAACACATGTCCGGGTTTTTTTCCACTTCACTTGTAATGTTTGTTGTTAAAATATGACTGTGTCACCACGGATGGCTTCAGTGGTTTGTGCAGTTTGATGGATTTAGTTTCAGGTGCCAGATGGTGCCTACAGGTGGAGCAGAGCGGTGGTTAATTATCAGTAAATGCACAGGAACTGTTAATAATTTCCTAATCTAACTTTTGCCGCGTTCAATTACGGTTAAATAATTTAATTGGTACTATTCCCAACAACGTATTTGTAAGAATAATAGATCCGCACGTAATCTATCCGTTGAACCTTGAAAACACATTACACAAAGTATATACAGTATATATATATATATATATATATATATATAAAATACTCCTATTTATCTATTGTTTATATAAATTACTTTATCGTTGTCCTCTTTGTTAGCAGTGTTGCGAGGTTATAAATTGCTCGTTTTACTATGAAATATCCCACTTGCTACAGCCTCTGATTAACATTCCCAGAGCGATGTTATTTTGCTCTTATTCTGTAAGAGGTTACAGGAAGAACTTGTCTGCAGGGTCAACAGTGTACTAATAGTAAAGCTCAGTATAATCTGAGTAAAGAGCAAGCAGAAGGTTCCTTATCTAAAGGACAAATACATCTATAATCCAAACTTTGTCCTAGCAGTAACGGGACATTTTACTCAAACCGAGTGATTAGTGATATAATCAGTTTTTTAACTGAAAATTAACACATCAAATTTGGATAAATAGTGAAATATTGTTTAGTAATCTGTCCTAAAACATTTTTTCCCATCTGTCTGAATGTTATATCCTATCCCCCATTTAATGTACAGTATTTTTCTTCACACAGATCACAGGTTAAAGATTAAAACAAGCTAGCTGTAGTTTTTATTGTTGTCTTTATGTTTTACTTAATAATAAGCCTGTCTAATGTCATGCAATTTAAACACAATTGGTGCTGAAATGAAAAGATGTTTTGGAAGACAATAGACAAAAATAATTATTCAAGTCATGTAATAGAATCCAGACAAAAGTATAATTAGCTGCAGCTATCCTGTCGTACTGTGAGGGCCTTATCTACAAACCAGGACCAATTCCTCAGCCTGAATTACTCATCACAGCATATTCTTTATTCTTCTCACAACAGATATCCTTTTAATTAAACATGACCTGAAGGGAATCACCATGCACCAGTGACTTTCTCTACTGAGAGGCCTCTCCGCCTCTCAGCTGCAGCAGAGGAAACAGCCACGCACCATGAACTCTGTGAGGACGTACTCAGAAGCTACAATAAAACTCTTTAGGCTCATATCAACAGGTTTATTCTACAAATGAAGATGGCCACCGTTCCACAGGTGAGAAAGAAGGAAAACCGTCTATCCATTTACTCGCTCTCATTTCCACATTCCTTCATCTCATTAGTATTCTGTTGTCAAACCGTATTCATGGTTCTAAATATGTCTCTGGCCACGTTTTGTGTTTTTGACCCCTCGGTGTAAACAACTCCCCGTTTATCTTTACCTTCTTCAACTTCTTTTCCCATAATCCCAGGCTCTTCTTTATCCTCACTCACCGCAGATCTCTGAAACCCAGCGGTCTGGATGACTAAGGGAAGAATTGCCAGGCACGTAGCATGGCTCACTCTGTCCACTCCTCCGGCTGGAGGGAGATGACGAATGGAGCAGGGCAGCCCCACTACAGCAATGGAGGCCAGAGTGGGGGTCCGCACACCGCCACACGCTACATGATAAAGAAACAGCAGCGCTACAAACATAGGTCTTCGTCACCAATGGGCAGAGTCATTCTCATCAATGCACCTGTTGATGGTGAGTTCTGGACTAATTGGAATCATCAGGGTGAAAGTGTTCGTTATCATTTATATACGAAACAGAGACGATGATGTTATGTCAACGTGGTTGAGGTCAAAGAGCTGCGATCCTACAGTTCAACTATAGGTGTCTTCTGTAGTTTGGGGGGGAGGACCGTCATCAGGTGAGGGTGAGGTACAACCCTGGACAGTTTACCAGTTCATCGCGGAGTCACATATAGAAACAGAAATACCTGACGGATGTTTATTTAGAGCAGTACTTCTCAAATAGTGGGGCAGGCCCCTCTGCGGGGGTGTGGCGAGATGCCACTGATTTAGAGTGACCAATTGAAAAAAAAAAAAGGGCACACCAGGGATTGAACCGATGATGTTCTTACTCTAAGGCAAGATCACTAGCCGCTCTTAACGGCACTCCTGTGCCTCAGCCTTAGTCTGTAGTTCATTAAATTTCAGTGTCTCATCATTCATTGCTGCAGTGATTGAAGTCTGTGTGTGTTTCATGTTCAGGTGGCGATGAGAGTGAAGACATTCACACGGTGACAGTAGATAAGAGTCCTGACGGGCGTCTGGGTTTCAGTGTCCGCGGAGGGTCTGAACATGGACTGGGCATATTTGTCAGCAAGGTCGACGACGACAGCTCTGCAGGTGAGGAGGAGGAGAGTTCTCTTATTTATTTATTTTTTTGTAGATCATTTGATCTTCTTTTAACATTTGACATTCTATGTGTGTGTGTGTGTGTGTGTGTGTGTGTGCACCTCGTGTCCACAGCGCTGGCTGGTCTGAGTGTAGGCGATAAGCTGGTGGAGGTGAACGGCGTCAGTCTGGAGAGCATCACCATGAGCAGCGCTGTGAAGGTCCTGACAGGAAACAACAGGCTGAAGATGGTGGTGAGAAGGGTCGGCAAGATCCCGGGCATCCGCTACTCCAAGGAGAAGACCACATGGTAAGGCTGGACAATAAGGAGGGGTTAAAGGTCACAGTACTTCCACAGCAGCCTGTTCACCACGTTGTTGTTGCTCAAACATCATTGCATCTGTGTGTGTGTGTGTGTTAAGGGTGGACCTGATTCACCGGCGCATGGTGGTGGAGGAGAATGGACACACACCATCAGAAGCCAGCACAGACAGCGCCCTCCGCAGGATTGTGCATCTCTTCACCACATCAGACGACTACTGCCTGGGCTTCAACATCAGAGGGGTTCGGTCTGGGGATTTATGTTTCCAAGTACGACTTGAGTTTGAGATACTCCCATAACAACATAAAGGTGGACGTGGACCAGTCCTTGTTTATGTCTTTTCTCGTCTCAGACTGGACCCAGGCGGACTCGCCGAGCAGCATGGCATCAAAATGGGTGATCAGATACTCGCCGCTAACGGCGTGAGCTTTGAGGACATCACTCACAACAACGCAGTGGACGTCCTGAAGAGCCACACCCACGTGATGCTGACCATCAGGGTGAGAGATTACTCCGTTATCCTCCTAAACCTCACATGAACTCTTCAAATTCAGTCACTAAATTGTTCAATCTTTTTTTAAAATATAGTTATACAACCAAGCAAATGAAATTTTTTTTTTCTTGGTTTCCTATCAATTCCTCGTTTGGTACTTTTTAACCACCACTGATTCAAACGTGAATAATACTGACAATATTGCCTGAAAAAGTGTTAAAAAAAACTAACAACATCTTCTGTTCGGGGTTGCTGCCAAACATTCTTTTTCTTCTCTTTAACACTGATGTCATCAAATGAAAACTGACTGTTTTGTATTCTGGGCATGCTTTATTGAGTTTCTGAGCACCATCAGGCCTTCAGAAATGCAAATGATTTTGGATAGTTTGGTTTGTTACTCACCCCTAGTCTGTTTGAGTATTTTATGAAGTTTTTCTTGGTTTGTGTGTTGAATTTGTTTTTTGTTTTTTTTTTTTAGTCTAAGGCATCTTTTTGCCTAACAACATTATCATGGTGAGTGTTACGTCAGGCAGTTTGAATGATGACATCCTGCCATCATAATAGACAAAAGGGGAACTTGACAGGTGATGTCATGGGATACAAACAAACAATTCTTGATGCAGGCTGATTTGTTGCTTCAGGATATGTGATCTCAAAAACATCAGAGCTGCGTGACTGAGTAAAAGAATCCATGGCCTGAGGTTTGAAAATAAGAATTGATTGGATGCTTTGATGACTGTGACACAATAACAAATGACACAGCAGGTTAAATAACAGCAGCTCCTGTGAGGAGCAGACGGCCGACTCACACACAGCCCATCACTTACTCATATGACTGCCAAGTGCGGGTGCAAGGTCGAGGCCCTGTATTTTTAAATGGAGGAATCGTGTGTATGTTTGTGTGTATGACGGAGGACACGTGTGTTGTGTAGCATGTTACACTGCTGCTCTCAGCTCTCTAGGTTTGAGCCGCGCTCATTTTACTCCTCAGATCTCAGGTTCCATGTGTGAAAAACAGCCAGGGATGACGTTCATTATTCAAAGGCAGCAGGGGATCGGGTTGTAATCAAGAGAAAGCCCTAATTTTATGTCTGCCTCCTGTCCTAGAGCGGACACATTGATTGGTGGCGGTCACGGACAGTGGAGTGAAGGTTCATTTTGGTCGGTAAGGTCTGACCTGTGACCACCCACGGAGTTTACCTCTTTAAACATGAGCTTTTATGAGGTTGAAAGTCGGAATAAAAAGTGGGAAAATAACAGAGACCGATCTCTGTTTGACACATCGCTGTATCCCATGATGCATTTCATATCATCTGATACGAGTTCAACTGGTTACTGACCTGATTATTAATATATTTCATGCATTATATAGTAAGATAAAGTAACACTGAGGTACTTTATAGTGTCTGGTGTTAAACACCTTTAGTTTTATTTGTATATGTTTCTTTTTTTCCCCCTCAAACAGGAAGCTGGCAGATACCCTGCCTACAAGGAGATGGTGGCTGAATACGGCTGGCTGGACCAATGTATGTTGACTCTTTGAAAAGTAGATTAAAAAATAAGAATTTCACTGTTGCTGTCTTCCCTGCACATTAACAAAGTGAAGTCGACCTGTTTAATGTATGTTTCTAAATAAATAATATGAATGTTTGACGTAGCAGGATTGGTGACAAAGAAAATCATTCTTTCTTTTGAAATTACTTTGTATTTTTTCTCTGGATTGTTGTCAACAGCAGCCAATGGCGGACGTCCGTCGTCGTGTCACGGATCGGACTCCAACTCGTCTCTGTCCTCCCTGTCCTCCAACACCCCGCTCAGCTCCCTCAGTGGACTCTCCCAAGTCCTGTTCCCACCCATCTCTGGCTCAGAGCTGGTGGACGTTGCCATCGCTACAGAAGACCGCTACCATCGTGCAAGCAGTGCTGAGAGGACTGCTGACACTGCCATACAGACTGACCCCCACCCACCGTCCCACTCTGAACGATCTTTTTATAACGGATCCTACCCAGACAGCCTGGTCGGAACAGAGACCAGTCGAACCGTAGGTGCCACAGTTCTGCTGAAAGACACTTTGATACATGGGAAAGGTGAAGGACCACGGCAGGTGGTCAGGGCCGCAGAGGGAGGGCGGGGCCACACATGGACACAGTCAAATGGGGACCACGGAGTCGGGCCACAGTCGCCGAAGACGGCTGCGCTGATGGCACTGAGCGAACCACGGAAACCCATCAGACGTTCCCAGAGCCACATTACTCCATCAGGTGGGACTGAGACTGGTTTCGAAATATTAAATAAATATTCCAGAAGTGAAACATTTTAAAAGAAAATCCAACTTTCAGCAAACACAAGATTCACATCACAAGGAGGTACCAACTTTTGGCAAACACAAGATTCACATCACAAGGAGAGTGTTTAGATGTTCAATTAAAATTCTGGTTTTTGGCCCCCTAGTGGTTGAACAGGGAGTTGTTATAGCAAAACAAGAGGGGGGTGTCCCCTCCCTCCAAACAAGCAGGTTTTTGGGCTACACACATGCAGGTAGAACATGCAGACTCCATACAGAAAGATTAAACCAGTAAAACACTGATATTTCTGTAAAGACAAGTGTTATACCAACATTCACCACTGTGTGGCCTGTAGCTGTATTTATTTAATAACAAACTCCAACACCAAATCCTTCAGACACAGTCTGCTGTTGTTCATCTACGGTAGGAAGTAAACAGAGACGTCTAATTTAAGCTCCAGACCACATTCATCCTGACACATGACGTTATCAAGACATCATGATTAATCGCTGCCTTTTACCCACACTTGTACCTGGGCGAAAAATAAATACGAGCCCGGCATATTGAAAAGGATCCATGTGAACCGCAGTGATACAGTTGAGTTATGAGCTTCTCTCTTTCAATTTACCTGGCGTACCTCAGACCTCCAGGGCCTGGCACAGGCTCAGAGCAGCGCCCGGGGGCTGATTGGCTGATTTTGTTATGTAAGCCGGAGCATCAGTGCAGAGCTTCAAATAGATGTGTGTGTGTGTTCACGCGCCGGTGCTGCTGCGATTCATCAGTGTTACTGTGTAGCATTCCTGGGTGGCAGATTTACTGCAGAGAACAGAGGAGTCGACAGGCAGAGGAATGAACAGTTTAAATTCATAGTGGAGAGTGTACATCAGCCGGTGTTAACTGTGGAGCGTCAGGTAGAATCAGGCACAATCTGTGGTGTTTGTTTTTTGAAAAATTCAAATCAAAGATGACATGCAACTGCCCACTTTAAATGAGTTATGATTAGATTGTGATTTAGGAGAGATAAATAATTTACTCCTATCTTGTTAAAGGTTTATGTAGCATTTCTTGGTTGTTAAATTGAGGGGCGCCATAAATAGAATTCCTCCATTTGTCCCTGCTGCAGAAGAGCGACAGAAGAAGCAGCAGCAGAAAGAGAAGAAGTCGACGGAGGACAAAGTCAACCTGAAACGCTCCAAAACCTCCATCAACCTGTTTAAGAAGGAGCGTAAAGAGAAGAGCTCCTCCAAGTCTCCGTCCAACGCTGACAAAGGTCAGAGTGCACTCGTTGTTTCACTGTTACTTTAGAGTATTTCATGTATTTGTCAGTTGTTCCTTGAATCAGTATCTTTTACTTCTAACGTGGTCACTCACTGTGATGCCCCTCAGGTAAGGAGCGGAGCCGTCCTTTTCATCTCTTGACCTCCCCTAAGGAATCCCGTGCCGGGGTTAAAGACAGGAGCCCCCAGCCCCGACCTGAGACGCTGCAGCACGTGGAGGACGTGGCAAGGAAACTCCTCATTGAGGACGAGGTTGTGGCCGTGATGAGACACTGTCAGAGGGTGAGAAAGAATCAAGTTTTCCTGCTGTTTAGAATTTATTACATTATAATATTGGTATGGACATCATTACAAAAGTGTGCAGCAAGGCCCTCTGGTGATAAAAATGATTTGCTGCGGAGAAAATTATGGCTCTTCTTTAGCACAACTGGTAAAAAGGGTAATTAACAAGGTTTTATTAAAAATGCTGAAATGACTGACCAAATGAAACTGTTTTTCAGTTTTTGTCTGACAATGTAATTGAAGATTTGGTGCGCCCCCTTCTGGCCATCCTGGACAGGCCAGAGAAACTGCTTCTGCTCAGAGAGATAAGGTGAGTGAATGAAAGTGTAACATGGTGCTTTGTAATTTCACTAGATTTATAAAAATTAATTAAAATAAGTGTTTCCAAAAATCAATAATTCTGAACCGTTTATTTCCACAGAATGTTGATACCAACGTCTGGGCTGGGGCGGTTTGACAGCCTGGTCATTCCCTATGAGCTGGAGGCGTATGACAATCTCAAGAATCGCACCAGTAAGCAGCTCATATGTTTGTGGTTTATATTCACACCAAGTGAAAGTTGACGTTAGTTTATTGCAATAAAAGACAAATCAGTTTTATCAATTAAAAAAATAATATTTCTCTGTGAATTTGTACCATCAGTTTAACAGGCTGGAATTTGATTAGAATAAAAAAATATATAAAAGAGTTGACATTACATAGACCAGAGAAGTTAATGAGAACTAAATGATGACCCTCTTGTTATGAATGTCGCTCTAGTGCGTTCTACAGCTCTGCGCTCCCCTCGTCACGGAACCCCTCGACGTCACCTCATCACCCCAGTTCCAGGTACATGACCTTTCTCTTTCTCTTCTTCATCACTTCCTTCATTCACTACTTTAAGTTTAACAGCAGCACTGTTTGATAGAACCTGACAACAGTTCCTGGGACTGGACAAGAACGTGTCACATTTGTGGTTTAAAGCTGAAAGAACTCCTGTAAAATGTAGGAAACAAACTGAGGGTTAATGTGATGCAGTACTGCAGATGACACAAAACACCAGAGCAGATGTAACAACAGTCCTTGAAACTCTCTTTGCAGCATCTGATTTAAACATTCACCTGCTGACCTCACACACACACACACACACACACATTACTGTGCTGCAAATATCATGTTTCTTGTGTCGGTGCAGAAGAAGAGTCTTGTGTTACATCACTGTGAGCCACAGAAACTGACTGTGACACATCAGCGATACAAAGACGCTGTGAACGTTCTCCTCGTTCAAGAGTCACCGAGACACATCGATACGGTTGTATTTACAAAAAAAAAAAAAAAAAAAAACTCCACAGAAGTTGTCTCACCTTCTGTCGGCTCTGCCTCGGGGTCAGGGGGTCGGCGTTATGAGAGCAGACAGAAGCTGTCAGAGCATCACTGGGTTTGTGTTCAGAAGAGCTGAGCTGGTCAGTTTGCATCACCAGATACAGCACATTTTGGATATCAGACTCCCTGACGTCCCTGAAAACCTGCTGAATTATTCACCGTTAATGGTGTTATTCTCCTGAGGGAGAAGAAATTGTATATCATAAAAGGACACAGGTATAATTCTGCCGTCAGTGTGGTGCAGCGTAAAACTACAAGTATTGATTATTTTTATTATTGATCAGTCTGTGCGCTTGACCTTTTTTTATTATTATTTGGTAACTTGATGATGAAATGTTAAAGAATATTTGTGGGAGATTGTAATTTTACACTACACATTAAATATTTACTTTCTGATAAAATAAATAGAAAAAATGTGGCTCACCCACCACTTGGGGCGGTGGATGAAGTGGTACGTTCACTTGCCTTACAACAGGGGTCTCAAACCCAATTGAGCTGAGGAAGAAAAAAATTAACTCAAGGTCAAAATTTATGTCTAGTCACAGGCCAGATGTAGCGGGCCAAAATCAGCCCATGGACCTGGAGTTCAGAACCTCTTACCCTTATCACTTCATCCACCACTTGGTGATGCTCTTATGTGTGTAGTTTATAGTAGTTTAAAACTCTCTTCATGTGTCCAGACTACGGGGGCAGGTTCCACCTGCAGCCAGTCCACGACTCCCTGCAGGACTTCCAGTTAATGGATGAGATGGAGAGACTTCATTTGTCAGGACATCAGTCAGGTCACCTTCCCTCTCCCTCCCGCGTCTTCACCCCCCTGCTGGATGTGCCAGTGGACGGCTACTCCCCTTCAACTCTACGCTCTCGCTCCCCAAGTCCCTCGCCCAACCACAGCCTCCAACGCGGACGTCAACAGAGTCGCTCGCCACAGAGAGGAGAGAACGGCAGTTCACACTACGACGGCGCCTCCTTATTGTCTGTGCACGACCGCACGGACGCGACTCTCCAACGAGGGAGGTCACCCGTAAGGAATGGCCACGGGAGAGAAAGGAGGGAGGCGAGTCCTGACAGCGTAGACGGCAGATGGCAGACCAGACCGGACGGTTTCACGGAGGTCAGCGTACGCGTTCCCTCACAGCGCAGAGGCAGAACTCCCCTGGCCGAGGTATTTGAACCCACAGGAGACAGGAGTGTGTCCACGGGCAGAGGGAGCGGCTCACAGGTCAGCAGACCTTCACAGAATGGTGAGAGAAGAAGAACAACGCTGCCCCCTGAGGAGTATGACGTCAGCACTCTGACCATTTCAAAGGCCAAGCAGTCACTCGGTGAGAACGAGACACAAACATACAGTTTATTTAGATTTAAACGTTTGGTTCAGACTAGGTTTGTAATTCAGATTGCCAGCAAATAAAAATGACATTATGAGTAGAAAAATCAAAAGGTGTTTATTTTAATGCTTAAATGTTCTCATATTTATTAACTAGCAGAGGTCAGGACTTCACTCACTAACCAGCTGAAAGTAATAATAATAATAAAAAACCTCTAAAGCGAGACAATCAATAGGATTTGTTGTCTAAAGCGAGACAATCAATAGGATTTGTTTTATAAAATAATGAGGCTTCTTCAGTGATGATATTTCTTCTCCAGGTATTAGTATATCTGGAGGCGCAGAGTCAAGGATCCAGCCAATGATAAAGATTGAGAAAATCTTTCCAGGAGGAGCAGCGTCGACCAATGAGGCTTTGAAGGTGAGCAGGATCATTCATACAGAAAAAAAAAATCTGAAACATAGTGTGTTTTAACAGCAGGACCTGAACTATAATCACCAGTCACACTGAACTGTGTACTTGTACCTGTAGTTTCTGTGTGACCCACAGATTATTATGAAAAGCCCCCGACACCGAGGCTGATTGCACACGTGGGGCAGGACATAAATAAAGAGCTATATCAAGTAGCCCGGGGGCTTCATAATTGATGAAGTACACGCGCTGCCTGTCTGCTAATGTATCGGTGATATATTGCTCTGCGCAGTTACTTAACTGTCCGCTCACTGTGATCTTGGCTCGTCTCACTTGGACACATGAGACACTCATTAAGTACAATTAGCCAAAGACTAACTCATAAGGGTGTAGATCAAAAGTATTCCATGTACAATGTCACTGCTTCAGTGCTTTCTGCAAACGGAAGTCTGCCCCCTGCTGTTCATTGTTATTAGACATCTGTTTTGTTTGGAACTATAACCAGTCTTCTGATCTGGTAAAGACATAAAACCATGTTTTTGATCAATTTAATCAGAAAAACGTAAGAAAAGGTGAATTTTTCTATTAAAACAAATAAACAAAAAGTGATATATGTATTGTTATTTGTAATACTTTTAATAGGGCTAAAGCCACAATACCGCTACCTAAAATGCAGCCAAAAACCATCACAGAGCCAAAGCATTAATTCATGTCTTTAGCCTGTAAGGATTATTATTATTATTATTTGTATTATTAATTAATGATATATTAATTACAGTCGTTAGCAGTAGGTATTGTTGTTATTGAAGAACATGCGTGTGTGTGTGTGTTAGTCATGAGCTGCCAAGATAAACAGAGCTGCACAGATGTACGACCTTCTTCCATGTTTGATTGTTCCAAGAAAGAATAGTCTGGTGCAGAGTAGAAGGAAAAAAGAATCTATTTGTGTCTGATGACTGGCAAAGAAAAGGGGAAAAGACGTGATCGCTGGAGGAACAACAATGACCACAGGCCTTTGTGTGTTTCTGACCTGTGTTTTGCCAACGTTCGCTTCGATCCAGACCATAGACAGGTGTATCCTCAGCAAACAGCGTTGACATCAGGGGAAGTTCCTCTCATCCAGGCTCCAAAGACCTGACTCTATCAGCTCACATCCTGCAGGAAACAGCCAGCAATCAGTCCTGTGTCTGTCTGTGTGTGTGTCTGTGTGTGTGTCTTCGGCAGTTTTGCACTGTATGTTCTTTACTCAACAACCTTGAGCCTAAAGGAACATTTGTATGTGTGCCAGTATTGGCCTTCAGTTTGAATATATTAAAGTGAGAGAAAAGCCCCAACTCTCTGTGGCATAAATCAGGTTCTGCTGAGGGAAACGCTCAGAATGGATTTATGGTGGTTGTGGGACAGAATGCAGAAAAGATGGCGAGGAAACAAAATGAACAGCGGGCAGAGCTAACATGGTGTAAGTGCCTCGTCGCTCATGTCTCTGCTCCTTCCCTGTTTGGCAAAGTCTGCACCAGTATGAACTGAACGGGGATCGTCGGCACAGCTGTTTGGCACAAAAATATGTGTTTGTGAGTGAAACGAACAGACCTGATGCAACCCCTGACCTGGTCAACCATTTGGAATTTTTTTTTTTAGCTTATCTGATTACCCACCCAACAGCCAATGGGACACCCTGAAAGTTCAAGCTGAGGTAACAGAAGCTGAGCCAAAGTCATGTTAGTTGGACTGCGAGAGTCTGAAAGTTCAAGCTGAGGTAAAGCTGAGTCAAAGTCATGTTAGTTGGACTGCGAGAGTGCGATGCGTTCAAGTGACTTTAGGTGGTCTGACAAACCGTGTTTTCTGATTCAGTTTGCATCAAGATTTTACTAAATCTGTGTTAAATAAACTTTAAGACAGATATCTTAATGTTGCAGAGTTCAGCATATGAAAGACAGTTTTATTTTATTTGATTAAAAACTCGGGTGTTTTTTGCTGAATAATAGACTCTCCCTGCGCTTGTACTTACAGGCAGGATACGAGCTGTTGTCAGTGGACGGTGAGAGTCTCCAGGGAGTCACTCACCAACACGCAGTGGCTGTAATCCGCCGTGCATTCAGCAACAGAGCCAAAGATCACATGGTCTTCGTGGTCAAGGTCCCTGCCGACCCGGACCGACCCAGGAGACTTGCTAAGTAACGGCTCACCGCAGGACCGCAGCTCAGATC